ATATATATGTACAAAGTATAATTTACATATATAAACAGTGAATAAATGGTGTATCTGTAATATGTTTGTTATGTAACAGTCTTATAAAGTGGTACAATGTACGATGCTTTTACACATTTCTCATACATTTACTGTTTCTTACACACACCAAGAAGCTTCTTTATATATAACCAAATAAATTATTACATATAGAGTATTACGAGTGATGTTATAGCACCTAATGCATGATATATGTATAAAATTCAACAGATGTTTGATGCAACAGGTATGTTTGATGCAACTCTAAGTATAAGAGACTATATACATTAATAAAACAACAGAACATTAATCCATGATTTTCTACTAAACCATGTAAGTAAAAGATAAGTACTGGAACAAGTAGAATATTATGAAGACTATTGTAGAAATACAAGAATAACCATTATCTTATTTGACAAATGAGTCTATCAAATCACCAATCTTTAATGTTTAGTTGGAATCTCATAATTTATATTCTATGTTGACCAAAATGTTTCCCTTAACGTTTTGATTCAGCATACTAATGTATGTTTTTGAAGACCTGACATTACAAAGCATAGCACAAAGATCAGCCATCTATGACGTAAGGCAACCAATCAGAAATCAGTTTAGTATAGCTAGGCCTTTGAGGACCAGTGATTGGTTGCTGTGGATCACTGCACACCTACAAAAATGCAACAAGCAGTTATTAGTCAAATGGATCCCAAAGTATTGTTTGCTGAATGATTTCTGGGTTATATATTCAAAGCAGAAACTCCAGGATGTGCGTTTCTTACAAACCTACATTGGTCCAGTTTGGCTGAGAGTAAGAATGCATATCTGATATCGAGATGGCAGCTGGGGATCCTAGAAATCATTGTAGTAGTCTGCACTAAATACAGTGATAGCTGATCTCTTCTGGCTGCAGCTCTGATGGCTTCCCTAAGAACAAGAATTCCCTCTCTGAGCACCACCACCATTCACAGAGTGCCTTGTATTTTTTTCAATGAATACAAGGCATTGTCTGTTTAGGCGAGATGGAGAGGAGAAGCAGATGACATCACAATCTCCAACTCAACCATACAGAGAATATTTTGTATTCACTTATAAAATAAAAGGTGCTCTGTGAATGGCGGTGGTGCTCAGAAAGCAACTCTTTGTATTCAGTTTACAATGGGGAAGCTGCTAATGCCACAGCCAGAAGATTGCAGCTATCACTGTATGTAGCAAAGACTACTACAGTAATTTTCAGGTGATCCTCCGGATATCAGGTATGCATACTTACATTGAGCAAAGTTGGACCAGTGTGCAAGAAAACCTACTTCCTAGTGTTGCGCTTTAAGTATTAGGACTACAAATACAATCTAATATTTTACTGTCATTAGAAGCAAAATGGAATTATGCCCCAGTGCAAGCAGCAAACACCATAAATTATAAATGTATTATATTGACTCCAGAGCATAGTAAAACATTTTTATATTCACATACAATACAAATTCAGTACAATAGAAATGGTTGTAAATAAGTGAAGCAACTCTTATATCTGTGCAGTTTTTATTTTTTTTCCAGTGAAGGTTATTTACTAAAGGAGTTAATGGTTTATCTACCCAACTAAAGCTGCATTTACTTTAAGTGCCCAATCAAGTGCAATAAATAATATATCTTTTACACCAGAAAAATGCATGCATGTGCTTGTTTTAAAGGCTGAAGATGAGATGACAGCAGATATGTAAATATATCTGCTTTCATTAATTTTACTATGTAATACAGCATAATCACCCGTATTGTTTGCCACATGATTATTTTATGACAGTTTGCCTAGAATTTGTACCTAATTCATAGAATTTGCTTTTTGTATGTGTGTTTAGGTTTTAGGTTCTAGTCACACCTATGCTTACACATCAGAAAGCACAGTATATGGTACACAAATGTACAAATACATTGTTAATGTTCGAACTCAACACACAGATCATAATTTACTCTGTGTTGTGATGTGCTATGTTGGCCAAAAATAGCGCAGGTACCTTTTTTTTATTATGGGGCCCATTTAAAGTCAATGGGCTACCATTAATACATGTACATTAATAAAAAGGTGTGTTACCATTGTTGAACATGTAGGTGTTAATAAAGCCTACATGTATATTAAGCGATAAATCATATTGCTAACAGTCATTGACATCTGGCTCACACAATCTTTCCTTACAGACATTATTTTAGTGGAAAGCAGTGTGAACTACATGCACATGATTACCTCTATGGCACGGCTCTTTGGTTATGTTCCTAGATTCTTAACAATGCATTCCTGGTCCTTTAAGCATGCATTTAGCAACACTCTTTTCATACAACTCAAAACATATAACAGATGCTGTCATACATTTGTTGAAATGTAAGTCAGTATGAATTTAAAAAAAAATGTTGGTAGTCTTCTAAAACATATACATAAAAAAATATAAATATTAAAAATGTTTCAGCTCCTTCATATTCTTTCTTAACAGTCATTTAGAGAAAGGTAATTTCTTTGTGTCATACATTTATTTGTTATTTATAAAGTTCCTTTATTTATGTAAATATAAAAACATTTAAATGTGCAAACCTATATTTTGATCCAAAATGTCAAGTTTATAATTTTATATTAAACATTTTATACATATCTAGTCAGGGGTTAATTGTCTTTAGTCAATAGCATGCAGATGCAATACTCCTTTTTTTGTCTTTTTTTATATTGTTATTAAATTATATATTTTTGATTAAGATTTTAAAGCATTAAACTATGTTCTCAAATTCCTTTAAATGTTTTCCAAATAAATATGTAACAGTATAGATTACTGCCAAAATAAAACAATACTAAAACCTTGTACAGGTTTTGTAGATGAATGTAAAATAAAATGGTTATAGTAACATATACATTATGATGAGGAAAGTGCGCGAGGCACTATTTCAGCTTTATTTAATAACTGTAAAAAGCAAGTAATGTGCTTTACTTCAATGCTAACAATCTTAAGCTTTGAGTAGTGCCGCTTAATAGAAGTTAACCTGTGATTAGCTGCTTTAATTTAAGGCATAATACTGCTTTTTGCATGTGTCAATAAATAAAGCTTCATGAAGATAAAATAAAACATTGTAATTGATATCCTTTTTAACAAATCCATTTAAAAAAGTGGTACATAAACAAACATATTTAGCACAACACTTGTTTATTTTATGGTACACAATTTGTTGTGGCTCTGCCCCATATTTATCAGTTGCTAGCACAGAACATCCAAAGGGAAATGAAACGGATCTCGTTAAATACCAATGTGGCTTCAAGTAATTCTTAAATTAAAGTACAGTTGATTCGTAAAAGGAGATACTATTAACCTTTCAGGGAGGTTTATGCTCCAAAACCCCCTTTTAATTTTTGTTTTGCATAGAGACGGGATGAGTTAGAACCTTTGTCATCATTTTACTGCTGGTTTTGTCACAAATAGGGATATTTTCTCTCAATTCTTGTAATATTTGGCAGGTGTCAGAATGGTGAAATCTCCCCAATGGGAGTAGAAAAGAGTGGGGAAAAAGTAGACCCTCTCTTTTGGTTGCCTTTTGTGCACCTATTAGGAAGATTTCCTATCACTTTCAGGTCCCAGGTGTCAAACAGAATATGAAGTGAGAAGATTTATTGTACAGCAGGGACAGACAGCAATAAAAAGGACAGAGGTTCTACATGGTTGCAAATTTTCTCATAACTAATGTTTTTCCATTGGAAATAATAGCTAATTATTTGCTGTATAACATTTGTAAATTACAAAATGTGAAGTTGATACGGCACTAATTTGTAAATGTTATTAGTAACTCCTATAGCGCATCAACTGCATTTCAAGTTTGGTTTGTTATTTAAACTCCAGTGCATAAACAGCATGGAATGAGCATGTACTATTCAATAATACATTTTGGTTGTCTAAAATCTATTTAAAAATACATAAACACAGTTCACAGACAGCTTGCATTCCTTGGAATGGAAATGGCTTGTACAGAATAATGTGACTTTCATTTTACATTCGTGCTATCAAGAAGGTGGTCTTTTGTTTCCCATCTGTTTACTTTTGTCTACTATGAAATGTCTGCAAACATAATTTGAAGATAAACTGGACAGAGTAGAAACCAAAGATGTTCTTGTTCTTCAGAGCTTCAAGAACGTCAATCAATATGAGTTTTAAAGTGCAGAGATTTTGCTCACATCTGTAAAGAAATGACATGAAAATAAGTGTGCTGTTGTATAAGGATTAAATCAGTTAATTGTGTTCTTCAGTGTGAAATAAAATGTAATCCCTTCTGGTGAATCCTTTGTATAGAACCATGGACAGTCAATGCTATTCTTGTTTTACTAAATAGAGTAAAAATTCAGATTTTACCTGCAGTGTCACCCGCAGGTAAAAAATATTTTCATAACATGGCATCTGAAAAATAATGGCAACATTTGATGCTATTATATCTCACAAATCACACTGCCGTATTGACCAAATGTGAGAAACAACTAGATAAATGTTTGCTTACAAAGGGTTGGATGGGGCTCTTGTAAGGTTAGGTTCACACTATGGCGATCCGTGACGGCACGGCAATCATGCACAAAACCGCGCAGATGGTTGCTCGGTCACGGAATCGCCCACCACCACTGATCGTGCTGGCGGTGCCATTATTTTCTAATGGCACCCCAGTCGCGACGGGCAGTATCGCGGTGGGAAGCGCACATGATCTCGGTTCAAAAAAACGAGCGGTGCGTGTCGCAAAAAGAGGTACATGTACCTTTTTTTAGCAATTGTCCTGCGGATGTAACCCCATTGAAATCAATGGGGCTGCGCAGCAATCGCTGTGTGCAATCGGAGACGATAGCGCGGCCCCAGGCCCGGGATTGCCGATATCTGAACCTAGCCTAAGTGTACGTTTTTATAGTCTAGTTTAGCTGGAGAGCTGATAATGTTTTATGTTTGTATTATGTATATTATATATATTTTTAAATATTTTTTTTTAACCTACCATTCATGTTTCTTCACACTGGAGTGTTCATTACATCTCACAAATACCACTGGGCCTTTTCCTCTTGTAATAGTGGCAAACATCCCATGCTCAGGACAAAATATTAACCTAAAACACATACAAACATGCATATATTAAGCAAGCAGGCATAACTGATTAACTAATTACAAGTTTCCAAATACCAGTGGTCCCAGAAAAAAAACATTTTGTTTGGCATTGGACTGAGTTCCCAGACCTCACATTTCCTGTTTTGTGCAAATAGTCATATAAGGAATAACTTGTGGTTTGTAAAATTAGACATTTGTAATTCTAGCTGGACATATCAAATGGCAACACAGTAGGAACTATTATGGGTAAATAAAGTACCTTGCTCTTGTCATGCAAATGTAAAATGTATGTATACACTTTAAATTCAGATCTATGGTGGTCATGGCCTGCTGACCTCATCTATAGGCTAAAATGGCCACAGTAGTAAAATTGCCTTTCCGCTGGAACTGTAGTGTTTCATCTTAACATTTTAATGAAGAGGGTAAAAAAAGTGGTGGGATAAGGAGTTTTATTTAAAAGCCAGATATAAAACCACAATTTAAAGATGGTGGGGAGAGTACAGGAGTTCAAGCTGCATTACTTAACTGCAGCAGAGTAATGTGAGGTCCCTAACCTGGCTGTGCTGTCTGGCAGAGGTGTTTAAATTACAGAATTACAAATCATGTATTTCATCTGAGTGTTTAGCCATTTACCTGAAGTTCAGTTTTTAAACTGCACCTACCTTTTAACCCAATGATACCAAAAGAGGCAGTAAACCTTTAGCAACTTAACATTAGGTGTATTGAGCATACATGCATTAAGATTTCAAAAGCTCATACCTAACTGATTGCTACTCATGAATAGACATCTTTCTTCTATTCATTGTTGCATGAACAGGTAACAGTGGTACTGTAAATGACATTGCTTGATCACTATAAAATGTGTTGAATTACATTGATCTTATGGTATAAGCTCCAGAAAATGGTAGCAATATTATATAAGCTGTGACAAGACCCAACAGAAAGGGCTTCTAAGACATTTTTTACCAAATCAATTATTGTAGCATATGCTTCTACAGGGGCAATTAACACCTACTTTTTCTGTAACTCTCCAGACTTTATCCTGATCTTCTGAATGTCGAATGCGTATGTTGTAAACCAGTCTGACAAGCTGAAGAATGACTCCTTATCCCATCTAACTTTCAGCATTAGCAGCTCTCCTACATCCAGTTCAGTGTAGATCAAATATGAATAGGTTTTGTTTGTAGACATTTCAGCTCTATAAGAGTCAAAATCAGTTGTTAGAATTCTTGTGCTCACTATATAAATTAATAGGTTGAGTAACAGGATGCAAACATACTTATTTGCAGGACTGTTTGTGACCATTTTGATACCCTAGACTGGATACTTACTGATTACCATTATATGCTATTACCAATTACGCTACCATCCCCATAAATATATTTTAGTGAAGCAGTGTTCACATAATGGCCACCCACCAACTCAAAGAGATTTTCTAATCCCTTGATTTTGCTTTCTGATAATAATAGTGTCAGATATCCTCCATGTTATGGCTTCAGTGTCTGCAGTGCCCCTTACATTGTTTATTCTTCTCTAGAGTCCTCCCCTATGTGATTGATTGGTATTGGTATATATATGATTTACCAAGACACCAATAGATTACCTTCAATGTCACTAACCCAGATAAACTCAACCTCTTAATTGCATACTTCTCTCTCTTTTTTTAGATACAGATATAGATGTTTCTGTGCCAAAAAATGTTGACATTTAATGGACAGGTGACATTGTACACAAACTCTTGGTTAATTTGATTTTAGACCACTTTACTCTATAACGTATCTGCCTTTTATTCCCTGCCCATACAACAGCCTTTCCTTTATAGTGTGCTTACCTATTTTTTACTGCAAACCTTCACTCACTACATGAAGATATACATGACTCACATCATATATTGGTGAATGCCTGCAGTGCAAAACAGCTATGTTCATTAAAAAGACAATGTAACATCTATGGGCTGGCATGAAGGCATTCCCTTTTGCAAAACTTCAATTAAATTAACACACAGTGTAAGCACATTTCACAAATGCAATATCTCCTGACTAAGACTGCTCTTTCTCACTTTACCTTAGTGTGCTTTCTACTTGGTTGCACTCTGAGTTCTTAGTTAAACTATGGGGTCTATTCACTAAGTTGACGAGGGCAGCCGAGTGAACAACCGACCCCAAGTGAAGTGAGCCGAACACTGTTCAACTATTCACTTCAGGCATGTACGGCTGATTTCAGCCGTATATCGGCTTGCTTCGCATGGCTTCGGGTTGGCTGAACATGCTCAGCATGTTCGGCCGACCCGAAGTGCAGAAGGAGTTTCGATATCATTGTACAAAAATAGTCATGTCAGCTAACATGACTATTTTTAAACAATTGGCGAATGGCCCTGCATGTTCATTTTGTGCAAGTAATGGGAAAAACAATCGTTCTTGATATATTTTCTTTTACGGTTAAATGTATTGTAATGTAAAACTACATAATGGCCACTAGGTGGAACCAAAGAGCATAGGAAATAAGGAAAAGAAAATATAATAAGAACATTCTTTTTTGCCATTATGTGCACAAAATGAACATTTGCAGAGCACACATGACCCCAAAGTGTATGTCAAGGCATCAAAAAAATCCTAAACAGTAGATCTCTGAACTATTCTATTAGTAGACTAGTTATGTGAGTTTGAGAGGTATTTTTTCACTAGTATTTAAAGTGTAAAATAAATTAAATGCTTTGTTTTAACTTCAACTTCTTTTTAACTAGCATTTATTTCATAATATAGAGATCTTATATATTTTGTTTTTTACTAATACTTGTTTGATCTGGATATACTGAATGCTTCAATATCAGAAGACATACAAAATGTTGTCTTTAGTAATGGTTTGATTAAATTACATTGTTTAGAAAAAATATAATGATACAAAATTATGTATTTTAAAAAAATAAGAACAGTATACTTTTATCAATATCTGAGTGTTAGTGGGAAGCCTTTTCAGTTCACATGCTCCTTTGTAAAGGAGGACCTTTAAATGTTCAAACACCTGTTAAAAAGGGCAATACATATTTTACTGCAGGAAATTCTCAGTGTTCCTTGGAGAATTCTCTGTGAAGTAGTTTCTTATTATTAGTAAATATTGACTACCGTTTCTCCCATAGAGAATGAATAGAATAATACATAGAAATCACACAGTGTAATTATGTCACTGAGAAACTGACAGTTCTAATATGTACGGCAAATAACATCTGCAAACAGAGCTCTGAGAAAAAACAAAATAGCATCCCACACTTACATTTGGAGTGGCCTGTTTTCACTTTCTCCCTTAGTACCATACAAGGAGACCAGAAAAGGTTGCTTGGTGACAGTAAGGTTCTTCTTTGCAAAGAAATGGACTTTCACTTGATAGTGGAACACTAAACATACAACAAGAAGATACATGTCAATGAAACCGTTTAACAGTTTTAAAAGGAAAAGTCTGATAATGTCACTATACATTTCCTAAACAACACTGACTTTTAAAATTCAAAAAAACTTACATAAATGTCCTAGCTAATTGCAGTAAATTGGAACTAAGACACAGTCTCTCCTGCCAAAAAACACTTTTTCCTCTTTCCCCTACCCTGTTTCTCCGAAAATAAGACCTACTCCGAAAATAAGACCTAGTACTATTTTGGGGAATTGCTAAAATATAAGACCTACCCCGAAAATAAGACCTAGTTGTGACCATTCCCAGGGCCGGTGGTGGCATAAGGGGGAACTTGAAGAGCAGCGGGAGAGAATCAGCGGTGCCAACGAAGCCAGCGCTAGAGGAACCGAGGCAGCAGCGCAGGGAGCAGAGCGGCATAAGATGTTTCCTCTATAGTGCCGACTCCTGTCACAGGCGGAGTGATACCAAATGCACTCCGCCTGTGAGGAATCGATAGTGAAAGTGCGTTTCGCTCATTCTGGTTACCAAATTGTTCTTGGAAAGCTACGGCACCCCTGATTGTCCTGATCACCCTATTCTTAACTTTGACATTTTGGATTATTTAATTTGGATTTGCATTAACTTTGGATTGTTATACATTAAAAAAAATAAGACCTACCCCGAAAATAAGACCTAGTGTGTTTTTTGAGCCCAAAAAAATATAAGACAACGTCTTATTTTCGGGGAAACACGGTAGCAATGTGAATACGCTGCAAGGCACATGTACTGCACAATGTATAGTCCCTGCTCATTCTGTAAAATGCACAGAATGGATCTGGTTGCCAGTGGCAATGCAAACTCCTGTGCGCATGTGCAGGAGTTATATCATCAGTGGCCCCTTGAAGGCCAATGAAAAGTGACACAGGACCCAGAAGAAGCAGAGAAGATGGCAGTGGTGGGTGATGGAGCTGTAAATAAGTGCTTTGACCTGCCAGCATGGGAGGAGGGCCCACTAAGAACCCGCTTTCATCCTGTTTACTTTAACTCTGCTTTAATGTGTACATGTAAGGATAGTAATATAGGAGCTGCCATTACCAGCTTAGTTTTCAAAGGTGCAATCCCCAGGCCTGTCATCTCTATCCTTGCTTCATTGCCTAGCAAGGCAATGCTCTGGGAAGAGTATGCATGTCACTTTACTTTAACAGTTTCCATGCTTGTTCTCAGTCAGTGCCTCATTGGGATTGATTTAGTATAGGAATACTTGATGAGGCTTTGATTGCTTGATGAGGCTGTATACACTCATTCAATCATGTGCAAAGACAATTCTGTGAATTTAAATTCCTCTGGAAATGACTGGGTGTTTAAAGAGCACCTGGCTGTATGAAAACTGCACTCCTTCAGTTAATCACTTCATTAAGTAATAAAACAAGAAAAAGGTTCACTGCTCCAAAGGATGTATCTTCAGCAGCAAGTTAGCAGCCACTTCCATTGTTCTATGCTGAAATGCCCCCTTTAAAGTGCAAAATTATGTTTTAATCAACGTAGATAGTAGTGGATTCTTTTCCTAATAGCCGGGTATAGTTATTTTATTATTATTTATTCATTATGCCCTAGGCATGGGTACAAAGCAAAAAACATTTTACTAAGCTAGCCCTTAATTATCATCAACTTCCTAAGAAATACATTTTCTCTGAAAAGGTTTGCTCAATTAAACACTCCTAGCCTACGCATCACTATTTGTTTTAATATTGTTTTTTTTTATTTAACCTCCCTGGCGGTATGATTATTCAGGATTTTAGGTACCAAAAGCACTAGTAAAAACTAAGCATATATACAGTAATTCATTTTAAATGCATTGCTTTCAAAAGCTTGAGGTACGTAAGCTTTATCATAATTTATGAAAGGTGGCACTATACCTTTAAAAGGCATCTGAGCGCTAGTTTTCATGAACATCTTGGTACTTCTTTTCCCACGTATCTTATTGACTTTGTAACCAAGTGTATTACAGCGATTTTTTCTGCAGCTTAGACAAAGTCCTTTATCGAAGGCTTCCTTTGAATTGCAGCGAAAGGCCATGTTTGGCTTCTCTTCATTAAGAAGAGAGTCAATGAAGAGGTGGATGGACCGTTCATGGGAACACTTCACAATCTGGTCAATGTCTATGAGAAAATAAGGAAACAAAGTTTTTATATGGGTTGGACTTGATGGACGTATGTCTTTATTCAACCCCAAATACTATGTAAAGTTATACTTACATCCCAAATTATTAATAACAAACAAGCAGCAGTTTGGCTGTAACATTTTAAGCTGGCTATGAACTGAGCGAATTTCAACCGGTTCTTGATGGACTTGCCAAAATTATTTAAGTGGGTAGCCCTGTTTGCTGGCTTCTGTCCGACACCCTTCAAACGTAAAACCAAAGGAGCCGTTTGTAAAATTGCCGCTTAATTAGTGTCTGCATCCAATCAGATGCAGGCGCTATCCAGGTGTTTTGACAGTGAGAATGTCAAAATATGACAGACGCGGCAGCGGATTCCTCCATAAATGCTGTTTAGCATAGATAGAGGAATCTGTAAAAAAAATCTACTAGTGTATACCCAGCTTTTATATAGAAGAATGAATGCTGAATTTTAAACTATGTAATTACATTGATTGTGTACATTGACAATGTGATGTGTCCTTGTACTGTTAAAATAAACATTAGGTCAACTGACACTTGGCAGGATACTTTGTAGTTCTTGGCACTTGATGAAGAGTAACATATGTTTAGAAGTTTATAACATTTAGACATTTTACAAGTGGGCAGGTAAACTGTGTAAATAGCATTCATGCAGACAGATCAACTATCAATTGGACTCTACTGGCTTATTCAAAAAGAGTTGTCAGTCCTAAGTGCAGAAATCCTTAGAAATTACATTTAACAAAGGGGACCAGACAAACCAACCACACCTGCACTTAAAATCTTTATTGACTCTGCAATGTTACATAAGGACACTGATCACTCTGAGGTGTTTCATGCTGAGTAAAGGTGCCCATACACTACACGATTCTCATACGAGAATCGCAGGAAATCCCGCGATCGTACGATAATCGTGCAGTGTATGGAAGGCGTGTAACCGTTTCTACTGTACGGTCGCACGTCTTCCGTCGAACAAGCAGGCTTGAAAACTCGCCGAGAATTGTACGATTCTCGGCGGGTTAGTGGTCTGCTTGTTCGACAACTGCCGAACGGGCCAGTGTGCGCACGCGCACGCTGCCCGTTTGCAGTCATCGGAAGCCCGCCCATCATTGCAGTCATCGAAAGCCCGCCCCTTGGGGGCGGGCTTGCGATGATCTCAAGTAACATCTGCCTGTCCAAGATAGGCAGATCGTAAGTTTTTTAAAGTACTTTACAACCCTTGCAAGACAAAAGTCTTGCGAGGATTGTAAAGTGTATGGCCACCTTAAGGCTGGTCATACACTGCTCTATTTTTCTAGTTCAACCAGTAGGCTGAACGCAAAAAAATAGAGCGGAATCTTCCATCAAGGCTACAAGTGTGTTGAGGGAATCCCTGCTGTTTATTTTGGATAGGTTTTGGTGATGATGATTAGTATGAAACACATACATACACACACATATATATATATATCTCCTTACCTACGATGCCTCGTAGACCTTTTGTTGCCATTAGCCAAAGTGTATCTCCAACATTGCATCCTGGCTGATAGCTCCCACCATTAGGATAAATGTCAATATGTCCAACAGGCCTTTGGATGCCTATACTGTGGTCTGGAGAACCCACACTGTATGTATGCACCACATCCACAAAATCTGCATCATCAGGAGATAAAATGACGGATGTCTCAGCAAATTCGAAACTCGGCCCAGCTGGATCTAAACCTGCATAGAAAGACAATGTCAGACTGGCAGTATGATGACCCGTAAACTGTCAACATTCCAACGGCAATGGTATTTTTAACTAAATCAGCAGATCATATTCAAAAAAGATGCCTACTCACAAGAAATGCATACATCAGGAGAGCAAAACATAAATGGATAACTATTTGTTGACATACAGTATATATATGTACTGCAGTTTTCCAATTCAGAGAACAATATGTCTAATTCAAATGTATCACATTGTGGAAAAAATCAATGAGATATCATAAGGATTATAAATTAAAATGACAAAAAAACCCTTAAAAAAAACAGGTATTTAAAAAACTTTGACTTAAAGCTAAACTAAACCTAGGGGTCTATTCACCAAGCTGCCGTATGACCGGCCTGAAGCGAAGTGAGCAAAACGCTGTTCGGCTATTCACTTCAGGCTGGTACGGCTGATTTCAACCGCATATCGGCTGAAATCAGCCGTACATCGGGTGGCTTCGCTTGGCTTTGGGTCGGCCGAACATGCTCAGCATGTTCGTCTGACCCGAAGTGCAGAAGGTGTTCGACTCAGCCGATCCAACATCAGGATCGGCTAAGCCGAACCTCCGGCAGGCTACTCACTGCTGTTCGGTCTATTCTTATAGATGGCGAACAGCAGTGAGTGAATAGCTGAATGATTGAGCATTCGGCTCGGCTGTTCTGCTCGCTCCCTCTGTGGGACTGAGCAGAACAGAAAAATAGTTAAAAAAAGTAGAAAAAAATAAATAGAAAACGATTGTGCGGAGCTAGCAGTGACAGCTAGCTCCGCCCAACTGTTTTCTATTGGCCGGCGGTTCTGCTGCCATCAAAAAAAAAATAATTTCACCATAGGAATGCATTGCTAGATTCCTATTTGCTATTTCAATTTGCAATAGCAAATAGAAAACTAGCTATTGTACCCGCCCTCTGCTGCTGTCAATCATTAGTGGGGACCTGATGGAGAACTGCAGCAGTGGGCAATCGTACGATTATCGTAAGGTGTGTGGAAGCCGTGCGACCTCTACTACTGTAAGACAGTAGAAAGGTGTCATGGCACACTCACAAACCAGCATGTGCGGCTTTCACATTTTCTGCAGAAGACCGCAGTCATTTGTAACTCTTGCACATACTTTTAAGAGAGAGTCCATGCTATGTTACCACTGCTTTTATGTGAGTAATTTTCTTTTAATAAATCATACTCTGTTTAGATGGTACGCGCTATGGTGTTTGCTTTCTTTTTTCGGTCAACACGATCCTGGCATTGACACCTTATACTGAGGAGGCCTATAGATCAATAAAGATTGGAGGCTATTGCTTTCCTATCTAAAGGTCCCCACACACCTTGCGATAATCGTACGATAGTCGCGGGAAATCCCGCGATCGTACGATTATCGTAAGGTGTGTGGAAGCCGTGCGACCTCTACGACTGTAACCATTGGAGGACATCTGTGAGCGATTGGAACTGAGGGCCCCCTCCCCTGGTTAAAAAGGGAATTGCCTGATTTGACCCTTTTGCTGGGGTCATTCAATAAGGTGAGCACCCCTATATCTGGTGTGGTGCATTTGGTGAAGGAACAAGTAATATTCATCAATATTGCTATATTTGGAATTTTTTTGCGGATTTATGAAGATTTAAAGACTTTACACCTGATTTGATTTTTTTCACTGACATTTGTTTGAGTCACTGTTTTTTTTTGTTTTTTTTACTCTTTATATCTGATCATTGTTGTAGCTCGGCACATTTAGTTATTAATTTTTCACGAATTGTTGAGTGTGTTTGTCATTTGTTTTGCTCTACTACTGTAAGGTCGAACGACTTTTATCTTAGGAACATGTTCGAAAACCCGCCGAGAATCGTCCGTTTTTCCGCGGGTGTGTAGCATGTTCGTAAGATAAGAGCCGGACGGGCCGGTGTGCGCAAGCGCACACTGCCCATTCGGCATTGCGGTCATCGGAAGCCCGCCCCTCAGGGGGGCGCGGCTTGCGATCATCGCAAGTACGATCTGCCTGTCCAAGATAGGCAGATCGTACGTTTCTTTAATTACCTTACAACCATCGTAAGACAAAAGTCTTGCGATGGTTGTAAGGTGTGTGCCCAGCCTTAAGGTGGTTTCATATTTAGACTAAAGGGCATACTGCACATGAGCGCGATTTTGAATGTTGGGAATGTTGGGACATTGGATCCACTTATCACTGCTAGACATACTAAAGTAAGATTGATTTGTTTTAATTAGAAGTGTGTTGTATATGGATGAATTCATTCAAATTACTGTAAAGCTTTTTTGATTAGTCAGTGAACCCAAAATTGATATTTCAGTTTTGGTAGATTCTCCATTTTTAAAAAATCTTTCTTAGTTACTTTATTAGATAAATATCTGCATGTTCCTGGGTCTGCACATCTGATGTGACCATTATGCAGGGCCGTAGATAATTTTTTTTCCTGGGGGGGTTCAGCTTCCTCAAATGATAAGACTTTATCTAGCAGACAAACCGAGGTTTGAAAAAATATACCGGCCATATCCTTTCTAAACCAATCCTTTACCCTGAGCAATACCGATTTTGTTGTTTGACACCATATGGTTAAAAACCATGTTTTAAAAAGACTTATAATTGCTACCAATTCATACAAACCACTTAGTTTACACTTATTGGGACCATTATGAGATTCCCACTCTCCCTTTTCTTTTTCTTTTTTTAGATTATGGAGAATGCAATGGGGGAAGTGTCATTGTGAACACCCAGAACTCCCAGAAGGACAAGAACAGAGTTGAGAATTATGGCAGGGAGATGTCACTGTAGGAGTATCCAAGACATATAAGATGCTCAGCCCGAAGTTTCACCAACAGCTAATATATTAGTTCTGGGTGGACTGACCCTTTACGCCTGTGTTTCACCTATGCAACCATTTTCATTTATCTCACCTGTTATCCTATTAACTTTATTGTTTGTGAGACTCCCAGCGACACCTGCTGCATGAGCACCAAGACTGTATCCCAAAATGTGAATGTTGTCCACAGGGTAGTTGAGCTTTTCCTATAAATGATATTGAAGTTGAGTTGATTAATATAACCTAGATAACATACTAAACGTATACATTTTAAGAAATCTTTATAATAAAATAAATAATCATGAAAATAATGCTTCTTTTTTCCCCCTAAAGCATTTGTTTGCATTAAAGCATGGGTGAACAACAACAATAAACAATGAAGTTAATTTGTTAAAGTTACTCCCTCTGTGGCCCTTTGTTATTTTTTTATTTATTTAATTTTTTTATTAATTTTATTAAAATTTTACAATGGCTAGATTTTGATAAAAGACACCAATAGAAGACATCCAAAAGACATCATTAAAAGAGTAAAAGTACACCTTCTAACAGGTATCAGACTAAACAGCTGTCTTTTGTTTTTGTTTTTGGAATATTGAACAATACATGACAATACACATAGGGGGTCTATTCACTAAGCTGCCGTAGGCAGCCGAGTGAATGACCGACCTAAAGCGAAGTGAGCCGAACGCTGTTCGGCTATTCACCTCAGGCTGGTACGGCTGATTTCAGCCATATATTGGCTGAAATCAGCCGTACATCGGGTGGCTTCGGGTCGGCCGAACATGCTGAGCATCCACCCCAAGTGCAGAAGGAGTTCAACTCAGCCGAACCAACATCTGGATCGGCTAAGCCGAACCTCCAGCAGGCTACTCGCTGATGTTCTGTCTATTCTTATAGATGCCGAACAGCATATGTGGTACCTAGCAGAACAGAAAAAGAGTTGAAAAAGAAGGAAAAATAAATAGAAAACGATTGTGCGGAGCTAGCAGTGACAGCTAGCTCCGCCCAACTGTTTTCTATTGGGCGGCAGTTCTGCTGCCATCCAAAAAAAAGGGAAAAAAACTCTCCCGGGCGCTTTGGGAGTCTCCCTCTCCCAGCCGCCAAGGAGAGAAACACTGCTTTTTCTTTTTTTTTTCCTTTATTCTGACACGCCATAGGAATGCATTGCTAGATTCCTATTGGCTATTTCAATTTGCAATAGCCAATAGCAAACAAGCTATTGTACCCGCCCTCTGCTGCTGTCAATCAGTAGTGGACCTGATGGAGAACTGCAGCAGAGGGTGGGTGCAATGCTAGTTTACTACTGAACCAAAGGGGTCCTGGGGCCAAAGCTAGTCGAAGGATCAGCCGAAACTATGGCTAGATCCTTCGGCTGCTTTGAGAATAGACCCCACAGAGCACATGGGGGTAACACTTTCTTTTTACACCCTTTAGATTTTCTCAAGGTCTGCTGATCTGTACTTACTTCTATCCAGTCAATAAAACTTGCAACATCCTGTCCCACCAGTTGTGTGTATCCAGCTGAAACTGGATAGTGCTGCTGTGCTCGAGATAGCCAGTCTACCACAATCACATTTGATTCCGGCTCTCTTTTATACAGGGCATCTACTAACTTAGGAACCCAACTCTCATACATTCCAGTTACCTAAAAAGAAAGAACGTAACTTAAAAATGCAGGCATACATATTAATAAACAAATAATACATCAGGCAAAATATAAATAAAATATATACAGTTTTTTTTTTTGTTTCTTTTGGTCCAATTCCTCAGAAATGGCAGATGTCTCTCCACCAGTACGTCTTGAGGAGATGCCTGCCTGTGTTCATGCTAAAGCTAACTTTATGCAAAATCTAAGGCAATCTCCACAGAAGCCATGGAGCCTCTGAGAAGAAGGAATGAAGTCTGGCAGGAGGTGTCATCCTCTATAAACAAGTTTACCGCAGGCATTACATTATTATACTATTTATACACTTAACAACCATATTAGTTTTGGTGTTTTATTGCCCTTGTTTTACTGCCCTTGACTTCCTCTGCTGATAGTATAATGTTGTAAGATACTGGTCCACAATCAAGATCTCTGTTAAGGTGCCCATACACTGTGCGATTATCGCACGATAATCGCGGGAAATCCCGCGATCGTACGATAATTGCAAAGTGTATGGAAGGCGTGCAACCGTTTTTACTGTACGGTCGCACGTCTTTTGTCTAAGGAGCATGCTAGAAGACCAGCCGAGAATCGTACGATTTTCGGCTGGTTTTTAGCATGATCGTAAGATCAATGCCGCACGGGCCGGTGTGCGCACGCGCGTATTTTTTTTTTTTTGCACAGATGTATATTATTTAATGATATGACAATAGAGAACTTTATCAAATTAAAAAAAAAAACTGAGGAGTTGTATAGGAACATTCTTTTAACTTCAAAAGTTTTATGGCCCTCACATTCATAAATATGACAGTGGTTAAAGCAAGGAGGAAGTAATAGGACGATAAATTGAAAGGGAATAAGATAATTGAAAGCACACAGAAAGAAGTTTGTTGAAGCAAAAATAGAAAGTATAAGAAAGATTCTTTTCATGACAAGAATGACTATAATAATCTGGTTGATTAAAGTAGACATTCCCCCTAGATTTATGCTATAAACATTTAATAGCCATATAACGCATGTACCTTGATCAATGCATAGCACCATGTTTGACATTTGTCTGTACTTCAGTTGTCTAGCAATGAGCATGGGAAACTAACGTCCATTTGCCTGTGACACTATGTAACTCATGGTGTCGCATAACCCTCCTTGTGCTACATTTTTGAAAGCATCAGAGCACATAGGAAGCGTTTCCGAGTCAGGCTTTGCACTTACATAGATAGCATGGAGGAGCTGAGCAACACAATGGGGGTGATTTACTAACCTAAACACACGCACGCACTAGGTGCGTGTGATTTTTACACAGCAAAACGTATTTATCAACCAAAAAGTCTCTAAAAGCATATTTCCACAAATGCCATATATGGAAAAATCATGCACATGATGCATATATAATGCTGCTTCACAGTTTAGACAAAAATGGTTAGCTCATGCATTTACATTCCTGCATTCATCAACGCAAGCAACACAATGTAGAGCTAATTTACACAACATCACCTTGCAATTCATGCAGGGCTTTGCACAACACACCTGCTGGGTCTGTAGACACTACAAAGGTGTCTAGATTCCACCAATAGATAATGCTGGGAGGGAACACACTACAGAGGTGTATACTTGTTCGTGGTGTGTTTATAAGGTTAGTAAATCAATTCCAATGAGTTACATGGAGTTTCTGGTAAATGGCTGTCACTTTCCAACGCTGGTTGCATGGACAGAAGTACAGATTTTACACTTTCTATAATCTACGAGCAGATTCCCTTACCGTCCATCCATGTATAACCACAAATGTTTTGCTTGTTTGGTTGAAATTACATTCTGTAATAGACTGTTCCTGCCCAGGGATAAGGTAGCAGGTATCTTCATCCGGCTCATCTGGAGTGCGCAGTGCAAATTTGCTTTCAATATCTTTGAAATCAGTTTTCCCCCCAAATAAATTTGCTGCTGTAAATTAAAGTAAAATGGTGAATATGTGCTACTAGGTCTAACATTAAAACATGTATCTGTGTACTTGTCAGTTGTTATCTGTATTTGGCACTTGAAACATATATGATTAAAGCTGAACCACAGATTTACCTTGAGGCTTGCACAGTTGTACAGGCTTCTTTCCTATACTGAATATGCTTACTCTGATTACACTGCAATGGATACACTGGAAATGAATGGAGTTTCTCAAACAAAAACCACATTCAGTGTTAGAATTTCAATTGTTCCTGAAAAATTCCATCCTTCTCCTTCCATTTTTTGTTTCACTATGGTCAAAATCGATTTGACTATGGTCGAAAAATTAAAAAAGCCAATTTCTTTTCAAACAAAATTCTACTGGTGTTTGTCCAGCTTTACTAACTAGGAAATGATGATACAAAGCTTCGCAGTTAATAGTTTACTAAACCAGTCATTTGTTTCAAATTACCTAAACTTCAAACGGAATCGGTATGTAGCAATAAATTGTGAGAAAGTGATGAGGCAGTAATGATCTACCTCTTCCCTGTCTAATGCAAGCACACAATATAACATCCTACATCATTTTTTATAATGTTTTTTCGTTAATGTTTTACTAACTCTTGGACAATAAGAATGTTTGATTCACAGTTTTAGCCTGAGGCAGGCACAATTTCTTATGAATTCTATATGTTTGACAGGACATCCTGAGTAATTACCTTATGTTATGCGTGCAAAAGCTCTCCCAACATAGAAGTTCTTTGTTTGCCATCTAAGTTTACATTTCCACCCAGAAATAACATGATTCACGTAATGTATATAGATCCGACCATGTATTCACGTAATGTATATAGATCCGACCATGTATTCACGTAATGTATATAGACTGGTGTATATAGATCCAACCATGAATAGGCAGAACTTTTGTCCAGTACAAGGAAATGTTTTATTTTGAACAGCTCAGGAGACAAGTCCCAACATTAGGGTCCACAAAGTTTTACTTCACCAATTTTTGTTTAGATAGTTGTCTGAGCACACACATTTCAGATCTTATATGTTGTATTACTGCCAAATGACCTCACTTGCATTGGCTGATTTGGAAAACATTTGGCCATTGTGGGTTCTGGCAAATATTTTAATGCCCACCACAAATGAGAAGTGTGCTATGGATTGGTGTAGCTCCTAAAAAGATTATTTTCATTGTTCGCACTCTTATGCAGTTAAGCCATAATAACTGCTCTTTTATGATCAATGTAGACAATATATATGTATGTTGCAATTTTTTTGCAAGTTACAATATTGTAATTTATCTTACTAGTAGACGTTTAATGCTCAGATAAACCTTTCGACCTATTGCACAACCAAAGTTAATTTCTCCATCTAATACCGTAGATTGATGTTACCATTCTTATCTCCTAACCCTGTGAACTTCCATAAGCTGATTCAGCAGCCTATTTGCAGGGCATATACTGAATGCATAGCATGTCATGTACTTTCATGACACTGAATCAGCATTACCTGTCAAACTTATGGCCAACAGTAGTACTATTAGACAGGGCTGTGATTATGAAAGTTGGCTACCAGGTTGCTTACATCTACTTACAGTTCTTTACAAATGAAAAAGAAATCTGGCAACTGTACAAAAATGCAATCCTCCAGGTTTACTTAGCAAATATATAAATATTCCCCAAACTAAGGCTTTTTTTAAAAGAAAATATCTTCTTTAATTTTAAGAATTCCTTAAAGAGAGCAGATTCTTCCAGACAATGGATTGTACATACCATTACAGCATAATAATGATAGTGAGGCACACAGTCATCAATTACCTCTTAGTGGCAGTGGAAGACAAACAGTAAGCAAGAATTGATTTAGTAGACTGCTGATTATTTTATAAACATTAGGAAAAAAGGAGACAATACAGTTGGCCATAGAATGTAACTATAGGTGAACAGTTGGAACAATTCCTAAAATGGACCAGATTAAGTTGGGCAAATTCTTTAAAAACTCAGTAAACTCTATTCTGATGCTAGTTGACTTTTAAATCTGCCTTAAAAAAAGTGACAGCTGGAATCTGATTGGCTTTTTAAGTAGAGCTACTCAGCCTTCTTTTCCACCACTGTTTATAACTAAAGCAAAGTTGACGGGTCTGTTTTTATAAACAGTACTTCACCAGCATTTCCAGTGTAGGGTTATGATCTATTTATATGATGTATGTAGGCATCAATGGCATCATCGTAGATAAATAGCCAGTATAAACTATGACATATTTGCTATAGCCTTGATAGAAGTAAACATGTCCTTTATAGAGCTGTTTTCAAAGGGTCCCTTCGCCTGCAATTGTTTTACAGAGAATTTAACATTCCTGTCTATCTGCTATCAGGCTTGAACTGTACATAATTGCGTTGAAGGTGAGCATTTGACTTGGCAGACCTATTTCTCTGGAGGCAAACTTTCCAAGAACTGCAAGTTGTTCTTAACTCAGAGAGCAATGTTCCCATAAATCAAGCACTGTTGACACTATCTAAAAGCTGCCAAAGGAAGCATGTGAAAGCTGAGTGAACATGAAAGCAGTTTTGTGGACAGCTTTCTTGCCTTGTAGCACGAATGGATGTTTCATAAACAGAGAAATGTCACCTTCGGAGCCACTTGGGGGGGACAGTGAGACTGAATCTCCCTTTACAATATCACATTTACAGTGAAAAAGTCAAAGTGTCAAAAACATGTCATCTGCTCATTTTATGGCAAGTGATATATTGCTTTTATAACTTTCTGTTAATGATAGTTTCTACAAATTTAACCAATCCTTCCACTGGCTATAAAGATTAATGAGCTACAAACATCTCAGGAACTGATTTTCTGCAGCACAAATGAAAGACAAGGAATGCAAAAAACCCTTACAAAACTAGTGCTTTAACATTATACTGGCGTTGTAATATACGTTGTAATTGAGCTGGCATTGTGTTAGTGTGCTAGAATAAACTCTGTAGAGGTGATTTATGTACCATTTACATTTTTCACCTTGAGAAGTAAACCCATGTTGCCTTTCAACACCCAATTGTGTTCAGTGGAAGTTAACAAATAGACATTTCCTTCAGCAAAAGTGAAATGTGTTCTCTTTTCGTGAATCAGCACCAGTGGCTTAGTTTAGCAGAAGTAACAAGCACATTAATTATGAGTAAGAACTTCAGGAAATATCACAGGAAAGGTCCATTGGGAGCTAAGTTTAATGTGTCAATGCAGACTGCTCCAGGTCCTTGCGCATTCTGATCCTGGTCCCCGACATAATTTGAATGGACTTAATCACTGCAGTAGAAGTCTATGGGTCTGGAAGCTAATGGTAGCCCTGTCCTGGCATTAGGGTTTTTTTGTGTTTCAGCAAGGATAGCACCAGAGGCGTAACTAGAAACATCATGGCCCCCATGCAAGAAACCATGAAGGGCCCCCCCAACCCCTCACTGCCATGGGAACGCACTATAATCAGGCACCGTGTGGTTAACAGGAAGGCTGACGAGTTCCCCATCAAGCGCGGGACCTCAGGCAGCCGCTTCAGTTTATACATTTAGTGCTAGTATCTCCGCTTAGTATCTGCATTTTCACGAGTAATGGCACTAGTGCATCCCTACTTAATAATATAATGTGTTGCTGGGACTGGTAGTCCTGCATAGCTGGTGCTATTCTGCATTGCTGTATAATCATTGTACAGCACGGCAGAATACCAACAGCTATTGACAGGTCAGAGTCCCAACAATACATTATAATTAAAATTAGCGATGCTTAATATCACCAGCCTCTCCCCCAATCACGTGCCTGTTCTCTCCCACACAGCAGAATGTGCTGCCGGCGATGCCTGCAGCACATTCTGCTGAACAGGTGAACGATCACTGGCACAGCCTCTCCATCCACGCACAGCCGCCCGTACATGCCCCCGCCTCTACTCCTGCAGGTGGCAGAGCTGCGGGAAAGGAGTGGCACTATCTCCGGGGAGGGGGGGTGAGGGAGCTGCAGGCCCTCTTCTTCCTCTATGCTCCCCCAACCCAACAGGCAGAACACAATTGTGACCGCTGCAACCCTGGTAGTTCCGCCAGTGGATAGCACAGAAGTATAGGTAATTAACACTTACTAGTCACCCCACACAGTTCTTTCTTATGATACTTCCTGGGGTTTTCCTTTAAAAGAGAACTATGAGGTGAGTGCTTTTCACTCACCTCATAGTTCTAGCCGACCTGTGACAATGAGACTGTTACAGGTCGGCTCAGTAGATCGGGAAGTGAGTGAACACATACCGGCGTTCGCTCACCTCTCGATCCTGTCACGGCTCTCTGCCGTGACAAGGGAGGGACTGGATTCCCCTCTCCCCGCTCCAATCCGCCAGCGCTGACTGGTGGATCGGACGGGGGAGGGGGCGGGTACAGCTGGCTCTGCCTCTAGATAGGCAGAGCCAGTCATGCAGCTGGGTGGATCCCGCCACAATTGTCGGGATCCGCTTCAGCTGTGGCGTCTCAGTATACCGCGAGCTGCAGCTTGCGGTATACTGAGCCTAGGGTGACGGGAGGACGCTAGTTTGTGTCCTCCCGTTACCCTAAGGAGAACTATGGGGAAAAGACTTAACCCCATAGTTCTCCTTTAATGCATTTACACTCCTGTCAGTTAAGTCTAAACTGAAAAGCAGAACTTCACAGCTAATTGCAGACAAATTGGAGTTTTTAAAGAAACTTGACTATTGATATAGATTTTCCAGCAACAGACAGACATTTTACTACGAAATCAGTCATACACCAGGAGATCCACAGACATAATGGCCATGATTCCATGTTCTGTTGTTGGGGAACCAGGTTCTTTGGCCAGTAATATGTACAAGTGAATGTGAAAATCTAACAATGTATGCCATTCAAGAACCAAGTGAAAAGCAGGAATGTACAATAAAAATTGGAGTAGTCATATGACTAAAGCATACACCATTAAATATAGTCACTGTGGAGCTGGATTTTACATGCTGCCTATGT